CCACAAACGTTGTTGGCAGACTTCATCAGTATCCACGCAGAACACAAAACAACATGGCCAAACTCTGCCATGTTCATGAGCTTGAATGCGGAAATTCATGTTCTATCATTTTTCCATATCTCTTAACTGCTATTCTTCACCACAACCTCTAGTTCGTCTATAAAACCCTTCCTGCTCTGAGTCTATTTAGTTCTGGCCTTACTTTCCTCCCTTGTTTTGTCCTTCTATTTAACCAAGTTCAATAAGGTACTGTCTTAACCCCTGAATTTCTTGTCTTTGTAGCTTACTAATCCTCTATGCTGTGTAACATTCACCAACTCTCTCCCTATTTACAAGTGGCTAAATATTGGTGGGGCAAGTAATAAAACTGTACATTTTAACCTCAGCTGAATCGTCACTGCTGCTCAGAAAACCTTATATGAATCTCTACTAGATGCATTATCACACTCCCACAGTGGCAAATGAATCTCAAGTTGGAAGGAACCTCAGAGACTTTTCTAGTATGACACAGACTTGAATAAGAATTTTCTCTACAACACTGCTAAGAAGGACACTAAATTTACCCCTCTTACCAGCCTTTCCTTTTCCATTGGGTGGTACCAAAAATGCCCAGTCAGTTAGGTACAAAACATGGGTGTTATCTATGGTTCTTTCACTTTCACCCCTTATTGTCAAGTCTTATGGATTCTCTATCCATGATCCCATTTGCATCTATCTGTTTCTCTCCACTCCAATTCAGGGTCTCATCATATTTTGCCTGGATGAATATAATACCCTTATTTTTTCTTTTTCTTTTGGTGAGGCAATCACGGTTAAGTGACTTGCCCTGCCCAGGGTGCTAAGTAAGTATCAAGTGTCAGAGGCCATGTTTGAACTCAGGTCCTCCTGACTCCAAGGCCAGAGCTCTATCCACTGCACCACCTAGCTGCCCCTTGTAATACCCTTCTAATTGTTCTCTACCTCTGACTTTGACCTCTCTAATCCTTCAGCCAGCTGACAAAAAACACTTGCTAAAGTACAGTCTGACCATCTTTCCTCTGATCACAATCCTTCAGCAGTTCTCTAGTGCCCCTGGAATAAAAAATAAACTCTTCAGTCCAAAGCTTAAAGTTCTCCCCAGTCTGCCTCCAACTTATTTTTCCAGCCTGCCTTTCTTTCTTTGTTATATTGCCCTCTCCTTATGCACCCTGTGTTCCAGTCACACAGGGACAACTGGTTTGTTCTCCAAATTTGACATCTCATTACCTTCAGTCTGTGGTTTATCCAGGCTGTCTCCTGTGCATGGAACATGTTCCCTCCTCATCTCTCTCTGCCTCTCAGAATCCTTCAAGGCTTTAGCTCGGGTACCACCTCTGAAATTTCCCCTCATTTGCTCCATGTGGAAATGATCCCTTCCTCCTCTCAGCACTGTTTGCATCTTTCTTTTGTGCCTATCACATCCTACTGCATACTAGCACGTGTTGTATCTCCCCCCCCAGCTTGATATAAGGAAAGGAATGGGGTCATTATAAACAATCTTTCTTTCTTTTTTTTTTTTTTTGGTGAGGCAATCTGGGTTAAGTGACTTGCCCAGGGTCACACAGCTAGTGTCAAGTGTCTGAGGCCACATTTGAACTCAGGTCCTCCTGACTCCAAGGCCAGAGCTCTATCCACTGCGTAACCTAGCCGCTCCCTTCAACAATCCTTCTATCCTTGCTAACACTTTACCTTGTGAACAGTGGGAGCTTAATGTCTGTTGAATTATGTCATGTTTTGTTATCTTAAGTTAATTCCTTAAGAACTTGTGATTTATCTTGAATGAAGTTTTAAGTAATTTTGTATAAAGCACAGTTAACCTGAGTTTTAAAATTCTATATTATATTACTATATACACAATTCTTTCAATTCATATACATTTTTTTCTCTTATATTCATTACTAACAAAATCAATCACATTTGAATCGATATTAAAGTATAGAATTTCCTTGATAGTCTTAATAACATGCAGGCATTCTCTCTGAACAAATACTAAGAATTTCATTTATTATATTTGTATCTGACAGGTGCCTAAATGCTTGATTGATGGAGAAGCAAATGTAGGAGAAATGACAATAACAATATTATCAATTTGTAGAAAAAATCTGAAAGGTTTATTCATGAAATATATATTCATGATCTTTGAGTACCAAATACTGAAATAGTAGGGTGTTTATTTTAATTGCTATCCTGTCTTGATCCCAATGTGGAAGGTTGTATGGAGGCAGGCAGAGTAATGTCTGATTATACAAAAATAATCTATAGTGACATAAATGCATATCTAGAATTCCTACTTTCTATCATACTTTTGCTATCACTGACCTTTATATGAAAGATACACATATATACATATAGGAATTTCCATGATTAAAACAAATGCAACTATTTAAAATGCTGGCAATTTATTATGCCCAAATAATGATTAAATTAAGCTTGGGCATTATATTTTACTTTGTTTTTTTAAGCACATTTCTAGTATAGTAAAGTCCAATATGACTGACAGAATATAATGGATAGAGGGATGGCCTGGAAATCAGGAAGACCTGAATTCAAATCCTACCTCTGACCCATATTGGCATGTGATCAAAGGCAAGCCCTACTAATCTCTCAGTGCCCTAAGCAGTTCTCTTTATAAATGACAGTTGTAGATCTGCATTAGTGAAGGAAGTTTCTATACCAAGAGTTTCAAACATTAATGAAATCACAGGACCACATTTTTAAAAAGTCAAATATAGTAAAAACCTTATTTAGAACATTAATGTTGAGATTTATAAGACTAATCTGTACCATATACAGTTTCCTTGTTATAGTCAGGATACTACCAAATAAGCGTAAAGGATGTAGAACATAATCAAATCTTTAGAACAGCAAGGCAATTTATTATGGGATTTCATTGTATATATAACTCTTAGACATGTTAAAATTTTGATGTTTGGTATTTGATGGTTGTATAAATTAATTAAATGGTACATGAGATATTTTAAAGGGCCCTTTTCTCATAAAGAATTACTGTTCATCACTTTAAAATTGGTTAGTTACATAAAACAAGATGTGATTTTTTATGTCCAAACTGGTAATAGTTCTCCTAGAACTATTTGTATATGTAAATATTAAAACTGTGTAGGAATAGACCTTTCAGTTAAAGACATTACTCAAATGCCATAGCTATAAAATTCATTAAATTTAGAAAAAGGATTGTTATTTGTTTACACCCAACAGAGCTTTCTAAACTTATTCCTATATTTAGCTATCCCAAACCTTATGTAGATAGACATAGATGTGTATATAAGTATATATACATTACATACTCACATTCTGATTGGAAGGAATATATATGTATGGGTACGTATGTGTGTAAATATACACACACTATATATTTATATATATGTGTGTGTGTGTGTGTGTGTGTACTATATATGGTACTATCCAGTACTACTATGTATATATACACACTAATATATACGTCTTTGTGTATGTGTATATGTTTACAATATATATAAGTACCACTCAGAGCTGCTAGGTGGTGAAGTAGATAAGAGTGCCAGGCCTGAAAGTCAGGAAGACTCATCTTTCTGAGTTCATATCTGGCTTCAGATACATATTAACTGTGTGACCCTGGGTAAGTCAATTAACCCTGTTTGCCTTAGTTCCTCATTTGTAAAATGAAGTGGAGAAGGAAATGACAAACCACTCCAATATCTTTGCCAAGAAAACCCCAAATAGGGTCACAAAGAGTTAGATGTGACTGAAAAACAACCAAATAACAACAACAACTATCTACATACATACATACATGTACACAAATATAGTGTATATACACGTACATACACATATATATTCCTTCCAATTAGAATCAGACTTTATTTTATTTGGAGATATGGCATACTCCAAATTTTAAGATAATTCTATTCAGCATGATTAGAATGATTTATTGTGGGAAATTGAAGGTTTTAAGAAAAGACCACAGTCATTTAGCTGAGAAATAATGATTTTGGATGGATTCAAAATGAAGAAAAGTTAGGATACAGTGATTTAATGAAATGAGAACAGGAATGATATAACCACAAATGACTATGTAATCATTTCAGATAAAACTGACAGGTCTGATCTACAAAACAGACCCCAAACTATCCCAACCATTTTGTTAAGTCAACTTTTCTTTTGTCTAAAACATTCCTGAATTTTCTTTTTACTGAAAAGAATTAGATTGAGGATAGTTACTCACAAAGCAAATGATATGTTTGTGTCACTGGTTTGATGTTATTGATTTGTAATGCTAATATTCCATATAAGAGCAAACAGATAAAACATAATTAGCATTATGTTTTTAATATTCTTAGTTTAACTGTTAGTAGCTTAAAAAATGAAAACTAGAGTATTCCTGTTAATTCCTAATGCAAATTTTTCCCTAAAGGGAAATGTGATAAGAAAAGATTTTTTTTTATGAGGAGTCAAATGTGGCTTTAATTTTTTGTCTAATGGGAGTTAGATGAAGATAATATTAACAATCAGGGTTTTGGACAATGAGTATCATGAATGAGGCACATACATATGTATCTATATACTTATATATACACTTACATATATATCACATATATTTAGCTAAAAAGCCATGGATTAGGATATATTTTCTGAATCAAGCAACAAAATTAGAGCTAAAAATTATATTACTGGCTTCTTACATTTAAAATGAATCATTTTTCTAATCAAAATATCATATTTGTTATCAAATAAAGGAGCATTTTGGTAATAACTTCATCGCTAGTTAGAGAGAATATTACTACTGCAAATATGTTTTCCATGGTGCTGCCTTGTCAGCATGGGATGAAATCTAGAATAATATTTTGGGGTAGCCAAGCATGATATATCTTTTATAGAAAATCCATTTTATATGGCTTATTCAGCAACAATGGAAAGAACCATTTTCCTGTTTCCTAGGAAGTTGCACGTGAAGGGAGGAACATAAAAACAACAAAAAAACTTACTCTAAAGATCTTATGAAGGAATTTTCTTTTGCACTTCTTTACATGGACTAGGAGAGAAGGGGTCATCTGGTCTTCCTTCATCATGATTCTGACTGCTAGCCTCTGGTTATGACATGGCCTATTTATTCAAGTAAGTGAAGGTAATTAAAGTTGTTGGTTACAGATGAACAATATCTAGGATAATCATTGTTTAAGCTGAGAATAAAATTAGCTTTACATGGCAATCAGGAAAAGCGGTTTAAATTTTTATCATTTAATTTTCTATTACCATTAATTTTTAGAGGCAGCTTGGGTATCTTAGCACTTATCATTGTGCCTCACACATATCAGGCACAATATTAGTTTACTAAATTGAATCTTATCTGTACTTCTTTCTATTTATTCAACAGGACTTTAAATTTAGATGATTCAGTTACCTAAGAGCTGTTGAAGAACTGCCTATAATTGAAGATTTGTATGCTAAAAACTGAGTAAAATAGTAAGTAACTTTTTTCAGGTTTGTGCTAGCAAAAGTCAGTTATTATTAGAGACATAGGTTTCCTGAGGTACAGACCACATAAAAACAAAGTATTAAAATTAATTTTGATGTTATTCTAATGGCTTCTTCTTTATAAACATACAGTATGAAGAATGTTTCCATTAACGAATGCAAACAGTTACCAATAGTAAGAAATACCTTGCCTTAAGTTCATCATTGCCACGGAAAAAGTGTCAGTATCCATAACAGCCAAGAAACAGCAAGTCAAGATGGTAAGGGTAATGGAACACACTTTCAGAAATATTCTAATGTATTGTGAGCAAATAAGTCATTGTGGGAGAATACCACCATCATGACTCAAAAGAGAGCTATTAAGCAGTTCTTGTTCAGTCATTCAGTCCTATCAGACTCTTTGTGATCTGTAGACCATATTGTCTGTGGGGCTTTCTTGGCAAAGATACTGAAGTGGTTTGCCATTTCCTTTTCCACTGGTTTAAGGCAAACAGAGGTTAGTTGACTTGCCAAGGATCATACTGCTAGTAAGTGTCTGAGGCCACATTTGAACTCAGGTCTTCCTGACTGTAGGCCCAGCATTCTACCCTAGCGGCCCCTACTAGTAGCCCTAAATATGTTGTTTCCAAATTTATTACAAACCTAATTGGCATCCCCTCAAGACCATCTAAAACAGGCTAAAAAGTACACGGCATAACCTCTTTGTGCTTTAGGAAGATCACTTTGATAGCTGGAGTGGTACTGGAATGGGGGAAATTGCAGCAGGGAGACCAACTAGCAGGTTACTGAAATAGTCCAGGCGTGAGGTCATGAGGGTCTGCCCCAGAGTGGTGGCCATGTGAGTAGAGAAAAGGACATGACTAGGAGAGAGAGAAGGTACAAACAAAATTTAGCTGCAGATTGGATATATGGAGTGAAAGGGGAGAATTTGAGGGGAAAGATAATGACTTTTCTTTTGGACATGTTAAACTGAGATGTCCTTTCAAATTCAAAATGTCCAAGGTCAGGAAACAGATTAGAGCTGGGTATATGAAGCTCTGAAAATCATCTTCATAAAAATAACAGCTGAATCCATGGGAGCTAATGAGATCACTTAAGGAGAGAATACAGAGGCAGGAGAAGAAAGAAGAGGAGAAGATAGAAGAGAAGAAAAGAGAAGAGGAAGAATGGAGAGGGGAGGAAAGAGGAGAAAAGAGAGGATTCTAGGCTAAAGGAAAGCAGAATAAGAAGGAATAGTCAGGCAGGCAGGGAGAACTGGAAGACAGCAATGTCATGAAAAAACAGGAGAGACTAGCCAGGAGCAGAGGGATTGATAGCATTAAAAGCTACAGATGTCATGAAGGATGAGGAGTGAGAAAAGGCCTTTAGATTTAGATTGCTGGTAATTTTGGAGAGAGAAATTTCTATCAAAAGATGAGGTTGGAAGTCAGACTGAAGAAGAGTTAGACTTAAGTAAGCAGAATACACAGAAGCACCAACTGCAAAGGGTTTAGCCAAAAGGGAGTTTAGCCAAAGGAATTTAGCCAAAAAGGAGACAATATGGATGGGATAACAGCCACAGGTACGGTATAATCAAGTGAATTCTTCTTTTATTAAGGATAAAGGAGGCACAGTGGATAGAGCACTGGCCCTAAAGTCAGGAGGACCTGAGTTCAAATACGGTCTCAGACCGAACACTTGACACTAACTAGCTGTGTGACCCTGGGCAAGTCACTTAACCCCAATGGCCTTTAAAAAAAAAAAGGATAAGGGAGATCCACTTTGTAGGAAGTTGGGATATATCTAGTACATCTGAGAGGGGGAATGATAAAAAGGGGTCAATCTGCTGAAGATGTGAAGAGATGGGATCAAGGGAATATACAGAAAGACTGTGATGATAGGGACGTTCTCTCAACTGATGTTCATCAGAACTACTCTATCAAACAAGACAGTATTTGTAAAGGGTTTAGCACAGTGCCTGGAACATAGTAGGCACTTAAGAAATGCTTATTTCTGGGGCAGCTAGGTGGATACTTACTAGCTGTGTGACCCTGGGTAAGTCATTTAACCCCAACTGCCTCACACACACAAAAAAAGAAATGCTTATTTCTCTCCCTCTCCACTTCTATATCATGACAAGTCATGGAAGTCAGACTTCAGTGTATTAATTAATAAATTCATAATTAATATTATCATTATTAATATTAATTTTACTCAATCAATAAGTTTAATTATTATTTGTTGATTATTATATGATTTATATTTATATATAACATGTTATATATTCTTTGCATTTATTAACAATATATTATATAATAATTATATAATATATAATTAATAATTATCATTGATTATTATTAATTAACTAATTTTAATTAATATTAATAATAAATTAATAAATTTAATATAATTGATAGTAAAACATGTTGGCTGTATGAAGATGAAGCCTTTCCATGAAACATAAGATTGCCAGAAATTTTAATAACAATGTAGTGTAGTTCACCTCAAAACTGATGTACTGTAAATATATTCAAACAATGTGGGGTTTTGCCTACACCAAAATTGAAACAGATTTTATAGGCTTGTGAAATATGCCTCGTCGCTATTTGTGCACTTACAAAGATCTATGAAAACTTCAATAGCTAACATATAGCACTCTAAGATTTGCAAAGCTCTTTACCCTTATTATCTCATTTGTTCCTCATAACAACCTATTATTATCCCCATTTTCACAGATCAGGAAACTGAGACTTGGAGTGGTTAAATGACTATGCCTAGGGTCACTAAGCTAATAAACGTTTAAAGCAGGATTTGACCTCAGTTATCCTGACTCCCAAGTCCAATGTTCTATCCACTGTACCATTTAACTAGCAAACTCTTTCTACTAAGCTTCAAGTTCCAAGAGGATAGGGATAGGATTAATTCCTAAACTTTTCCTTTTTTCTGGAGCTTAGCACAGTGCTCAGAGACACAGACTAGATGCTTACTCTTTTTAAAAAATTGATTAGTGAAATGGATGAATATTTACAAAAATATAAATTGCCCAGATTAACAGAAGAGGAAAAAAAATTCTTAAATAACCCCCTCACAAAAAGAAATTGAACAAGTCTTCAATAAATTCCCTAGGAAAAAATCTCTAGGGCCAGATGGATTTACAAGTGAATTCTATCAAACATTTAAACAGCAATTAATTCCAGTACTATATAGACTATTTGGGAAAATAGGTGAAGAAGGAGTCTTACCAAATTCTTTTTCTGATACAAATATGGTGCTGATACGTAAGCCTAGAAGAGTGAAAACAGAGAAAGAAAATTATAGGCCAATTTCTCTAATGAATATAGATGCAAAAATTTTAAATAAAATATTAGCAAAAAGATTACAGCAACTTATCACGAGAACAATACACTACGACCAGGTAGGATTTATAGCAGGAATGCAGGGCTAGTTCAATATTAGGAAAACTATAAGCATAATTGATCTTATCAACAACAAAACTAACAGAAACCACATGATCATCTCAATTGAAGGTATTAGAATAGGCAAAGAAGAAACAAAGCTATCACTCTTTGCAAATGATATGATGATATACTTAGAGAATCAAGTAAAAAACTACTTGAAATAATAAACAGCTATAAAATAAACCCACATAAATCACTGACATTTCTATATATTACCATTAAGAAGGCCCAACAGCAAAGAGATAGAAAGAGAAATTCCATTTAAAGTTACTGTAGACATTATAAAATATTTAGGAGTCTACTTACTAAAACAAAGCCAGGAACTATATGAACACAATTACAAAACACTTTTCACACAAATAAAGTCATATCTAAGTAATTGGAAGAACACTAGTTGCTCATGGGTAGGCCAAGCCAATATAATAAAAATGACAATTCTACCTAAGCTAATTTACTTATTCAGTGCCATACCAAACTACCAAAAATTATTTTATAGAGCTAGAAAAAAATAAGATTCATTTGGAATAACAAAAGGTCTAGAATATCAAGGGAACTAATGAAAAGAAACGCTAGAGAAGGTGGTCTAGCCATATTAGATCTTAAATTGCATTATAAAGCTGCAATCATCAAAACTTTTTGGAACTGGCTAAGAAATAGAGTGGTGGATCAGTGCAAGTTAGGTACACGAGATGCAGTAGTCAATGACTGTAGTAAATTAGAGATGTTTGATAAATCCAAAGACCCCAGCTTCTGGGATAAGAACTCACTATCTGACAAAAACTGCTAGGAAAACTGGAAAAGAGTATGGCAGAAACTACGCATAGACCAAAATCTTACAGTATATACCAAAATAAATTCAAAATGGATACACAATTTAGATATAAAGGCTGATACTATAAGTAAACTGGGAGAGCAAGGAATAGTTTACTTGTCAGATTTATGGAAAAGAGAAGAGTTTATGACCAAATGAGTTAGAAAACATTATAAAATGTAAAATAGAAAATTTTGATTACATTAAATTGAATAGTTTTTGCACAAACAAAGCCAATGAAACCAAGATTACGAGGGAAGCAGAAAACTGGGAAAGAATTTTTACAACCAGTGTCTCTGATAAGGTCCTCATTTCTAAAATATATAGAAAACTAAGTCAAATTTATAAGAATGTAAGTCATTCCCCAATTGATAAATGGTCAAAGGATATGAACAGGCAGTTTTGAGATGATGAAATTAAAACTATCTCTAGTCATATGGAAAAAAATGCTCTAAATCATTATTGATTAGAGAAATGAAAATAAAAACAACTCTGCGGTACCACATCACCCCTATCAGATCAGCTAACATGACAAAACAGGAAAATGATAAATGTTGGAGAAGATGTGGGAAAGTTGGAACATTAATGCATTACTGGTGGAGTTGTGAACTGATCCAACCATTTTGGAGAGCAATTTGGAACTATGTCCAAAGGGCTATGAAAATGTGCATACCCTTTGACCCAGCAATAGCACTTCTAGGGCCATATCCTAAAGAGATCATAAAAATGGGGAAGGACCCATATGTACAAAAATATTTATAGCAGCTTTTTCTGTGGTGACAAAGAATTGGAAATTGAGAGGATGCCCATGAATTGGTGAATGGCTGAACATGCTGTGGTATACAAATGTAATGGAATACTATTGTGCTATAAGAAATGATGGAAAGGTAGACTTCAGAAAAACCTGGAAAGACCTGGACTGATGCTGAGTGAAGTGAACAGAACCAGAAGAATGTTGTACACAGTAACAGCCATGTTGTGAGATGACTAACTTTGATAGACAGCTCTTCTCAGCAATGCA